CCAAGCAAGTGAAAAACCTGTATGAATAAAACTTCAAGTCTCTGAAGAAACAAACTGAAGAAGAAATCAGAAGATGAACAGAACTCCCATGCTCATGGATCAGTAAGATTAAGGTAGTGAATATGGCCATCCTACCAAAATCATTCTACAGATTCAGTGCAGTTCCCATCAAAATAACACCACAATTGTATACACCTTGAAAGAACGGTTCTCTATTTCATATTTAAAAAGAAAAAAAGAAGAATTGTTAAAATAATCCTGTACAATAGCAGAGTTTCTGGTGGTAACTCCAGATGCCACTATGGTCTCAATAAAATGAAACCATGTTTATCACCCTGCACCAACCTAAACTCCAAGTGAGTCAAATATTTCAAAGTAAAGCCAGACACACTAAACATACTAAGAAGAAAATTTGGGGAAAAGACTTGACCTCATTGGCACAGGAGACAACTTCCTGAACAAAACAAAAGCACAGCTCTAAGATCAAAAATAAATAAATGGGAAGCCATGAATCTGGAAAGCTTCTGTAAACCAAAGGATACTGTCAATAGAAAAAAAAAAAAAAAACGACAGCCTACAGACTGGGAAAAGATCTTCACCAACCCTAGATCTGACACAGGGCTAATATCCAGTATATATAAAGAACTCTCTCTATATAAAGAAGTTAAACACCAACAAACCAAGTAATCACCTTACAACCATGAAAATGGCTAAAATAAAAAAAAAAAAAACTCAAATGACAACACATGCTGGAGAGGTTATGGAGAAAGGGGAACCCTTCTCCATTGCTAGTGGGAATGCAAACTTGTACAACCAAATCAATCTGGTGCTTTCTCAGACAATTAGGAATAGCACTTCCCCAAGATGCAGCTATACCACTCTTAGAAATATATCCAAAAGTTGCTCAAGTACACAACAAGGATATTTGTTCAACCATGTTTGTAGCAGCTTTATTTGTAATAGCCAGAACATGGAAACAACCCAGATGCCCATCAACAGAGGAATGGATACAGAAATTGTGGTGTTTTACACAATGGAATATTACGCAGCAATTAAAAATGAGGAAATCATGAAATTTTGCAGGCAAATGGTGGAATCAAGAAAAGATCAATTCTGAGTGAAGTATCCCAGAAGGAGAAAGACACACATGGTATATACTCACTTATTTAGACGTATAAGATATGATTAACACAATGAAATCTATACACCTAAAGAAGATAAACAAGAAAGAAGACCCAGGGTAAGATGATCAATCCTCACTTAGAAAGACAAATGGGATGGGCATTGGATGTAGGAGAAAACAAGTAACAGGACAGGAGCCTACCACAGAGGGCCTCTGAAAGACTCTACCAAGCAGTGCATCAAAGCCGATCCTGAGACTTATAACCAAACCTTCAGCAGAGTGCAGGGAGTTATATGAAAGAAAGGGGAGTTAATATGACCTAGAGAGGATTGTTGCTTCACAAGAACCAAATATATCTGGGCACAGGGGTCTTATATGAGACTGTTTCTCCAACCAATGGCCATGTATGGATATAACCTAGAACCTCTGCTCAGATGTAGCCTGTGGTAGGTAAGCAACCAATTGGTTTTTCCCTAGTAAGGGGAACACGGACTATTTTTGACATGAACTCAATGGCAGGCTCTTTGACCTCCCTCCCTCAAGGGAGGAGCAGCCTTGCTAGGCCACATAGGAGGACTTTGAAGCCAGTCCTGTAGATACCTGATAAAGCAGGGTCAGATGAAAGGGGAGGAGGTCCTCCCCTATCAGTGGACTTGGAAAGGGGCAGGGAAGAAATGAGGGAGGGGGGGTGGGATTGGGAGGGAATGATGGAGTGGGATACAGCTGGGATACAGAGTTAATAAAATGTAACTAATAATAAAAATAAATAAAAAATACTAAAAAAATATGATACAGAGCTAAACAGAGAATTCTTAATAGAGGAAAATAGAACTGCAGAGAAACACTTAAAGAAATGCTCAAAATCCTTAGTCATCAGGAAAATACAAATCAAAATGACCCTGATATTTTATCTTTACACCCACCTGAATGACTAAGATCAAAATCTCAATTGACCACACATGCTGGAGAGGATTTGGAGAAAGGGGAACACTCTTCCACTACTGATGGGAATGTAAACATATACAGCCACTTAGGAAATCAGTCTGTCTCTTTCTCAGAAAATTAAGAAAATTCCTACCTCAGGATAGAGCTATACCACTCCTAGGCACATATCCAAAATATGCTCAAGTATACAGTAAGGCCATTTGCTCAACCATATATGTAGCAGCTTTATTTGTAATAGCCAGAATGTGGAAACATCCTAGATGTCCCTCATCTGAGGAATGGATACAGAAATTGTGGTACATTTACACAATGGAATACTACTCAGCATTTAAAAACAAAGCAATCCTGAAATTTGCAGGCAAATGGATGGAACTTGAAAAGATTATCTTGAATGAGGTAACCCAGAAGCATAAATACATGCATAGTATATATGCACTTATAGGTGGATATTAATCATAGAATGTAGGATAAACATACTAAAATCTGTAGTCCTGAAGAAACTAAACAGCAACAAGGACCTTAGGGAAGATGCTCAATCCTCATTCAGAATGGCAAAGGGGTTAGACTTTGGAAGCAGCAGAAGACAGGAAACAGGACAGGAGCCTATCACAGAGGCCCTCTCTGAAAGACTTTTCCCAGAAGGGTATTGAAGAAGATGAGAAGACGGAGACTCATTGCCAATCTTTGGGAAGAGTGCAGGGATTCATATGCAAGAAGGGTCTATAGAAAGACGTGGTGGTGATAAAAGCTCCACATGGCGACCAACACAGCTAAAAAGCCCGGGCCCCAGTAGGTCCTGCAGAGACCAGTACTCCAACCACAGACCATGAATGAGAGGACCTAGACCCTCTCCTCAGATGTAGCTCATAGGCAACACAGTCTCCAATGGGTTCCCTAGTAAGGGGACATTAACTCTGTGGCCAGCACTTTGACCATCTCCCCCTTGCTGTTGCAGCCTACCCATTACACAGAGGAAGATGATGCAGCTAGTCCTGATGAGACCTTATAGGCTAAGGTCAAATAGTACGGGAAGAAGAACTCCCCAATCAATGGATTAGGGGAGAAGCACAGGGGAAGAAGAGAGAGAGAGGGTAGGATGGAAAGAAAAAGAGGGAATGGGCTATAGCCAGGATACAAAATGAATAAATTGTAATAAATAAAACTAAATAAATAAAAATGTAATTTGTCCTTTTTTGGTCTCATGGCATAAAAATATCTTTAAAATAATGTACAATGATATATTTATATGTTTTTTACTCCATATACTTAGATTGGTTAGATAGATTGGGTAGAGACAGTATATACAAGCAGAGAGATACAGTAGAGATATAGTAGACACTGTATAGATACAATAACGTTGTACAAGACTTTAGATTAAAGATATAAAATTAAGGACTTATACAGCTGTATTGTAATAATGCTCTAACTTTTTTAATAAAAGTAAATTTGGAAGACAGATTTTATGATGGTTACTTGTCTTAATAGTTGATTTAGTTTGTGACACAAGCGCTCTTTACAGTATAAGATAAAATTCACTCTTATTATCTTAGTAATCCAGTGGTTATGAAAGGCAAGTGGCTAATGATGTTCAGTTTTGGTAGTGCATTATGCATAAGCTAGCAGAGGCCATACCATTAAAGAAGATGAATTCCTTTCACTCCAGAAGCCCACAACAGTCCATAGCTCATTAATTATGGATGAGGAGTGCTCAAAAACACCTTCTAAACCTGTGCTAAAATGTTGGCTTGATCTCATGCAGGGCTTTTGCTGGCAGCCACAGCAAAAAAAAAAAAAAAAAAAAAAAAAAAAAAAAGTGCAACACTTGTGCTGTGTCTAGAAGACAGTTTTCCTCTGATCCTCCCTGACCTCCAGCTTTATACAGTTCATCCACCTCTCCTCCACAGTAGTTCCTGTGGAGATATCCCATATTGTGGCTAAGAACTCTACTCACTCTCTGCACTTTGACCAGGTGTATATTTCTGTAATAATCACTGCTCACTATACAAATAAACTTAACTGATCACGTCTTAGAACAGCACTAATCTACGGGTAGAGAAATACATATTTAGAAGGTATTATGTCAATTTAGCATAATAATAGTAGTAGGTTCACTGCTGGGTCTTGTGAGCTTCCCAACCACAGATTCTAAGCCAGATTTCAAATACTAGGCATGTGTTTTTTTCATATGTAGTGGAAAGATTAAACTTGGAATACTATGTAACTTGCAATTATATAAAATAATAATTTTTAAATGAGACAATAAGTAAGAATGAACCCCGGCTCAGATGTAGCCCATAGACTCAGTCTCCAAGTGGGTTCCCTAATAAGGGGAGCAGGGGCTTTCTCTGGCATGAACTCAGTGACAAGCTCTCTGATCATCTCCCCCTGGGGAGAGGCATCCTTGCCAGGCCATAGAAAAAGACAATGGAACCAGTACTGATGAGACCTGATAGACTATGGTCAAACAGAAGAGGAGGAAGACCTCACATATCAGTGGACTAGGGAGGGGCATAGGGAGAGAAGAGGGTGAGACGAGGGACAGTGGGATAGAGAGGAGACAGGGAGGGAGACACATCGGGATACAAATTGAATAAATTGTAAGAAATTATAATAATAATAAAAAGAATTTAAAAAAGAAAGAAAATAGGCAGGCATGATCATCGAAGATCACTAAGTTACTGAAATCTAACAGAGTAGTTATTGATCAATATTTCTTGTTACAGGAAATCTGTTGAAAAACAACTATTAAGAATTTGATACTATGTCCTTGAAATTTCCATTAAATTGTTCTATAGCCACATCATGTTTAACTCTGGTACTGCCATTTAGAGTTTATATTTCATGTGTAAGTCATAGTTAATTTGATGCTTGAGACTAAACATTTCTGAAATTCCTCACTGGTTTCCTCCCATCCTGTACCCATGTGTTACAGGTGAAATTACATTTTCTGTTAATAGCAGAGATAAGGAAGGTTCTCGGGAAGGTACAGATACTAAGAAAGACATCTCTTCTCAGGAAACACCATTAGATTCATCTTCCCTCACTTTTGAGGAACACTCAGGTAAACTTCTTATGATAGTGTATTTTTGTTATTGAACTATGGAAATCTGGATCAGAGCCTGAAGATGCATAATTCACAGATCAAAAAGGCATAGAAATGTACCAAGAATATGTTTTTTTCTTTTTTCTTCTTTATTCTTCTTTTATACAATACATCCTAACTACATTATTTTTAAATGAGTTTGTATTGCAGTTCTTCAAAAACAAATTAGAAACAATAGATGTCTTCTCTTATTCTCTTACTCTGTTTTTAGTCACTCTCTCTCACATGCATGTACACACACACATAGAGGAACACATATACACACACAGACAAACATGCCCACATATGTACCCTGTGTTTACACATTACAGATGAAGTTACATTTTGTGTTAAAAGCAGATTTTAATAAAATAAATAAAAGTAAGATTTTCAAGAAAACCTACAGGATTTTCAGGAAGACAGAAATCTGAAAAAAAAGAACACCCTACTCTCTCTCTGTGTCTCTGCTCTCTCTTTGTGTGTGTGTATGTTTTTAATTTGTGTGTGTGTGTGTGTGTGTGTGTGTGTGTGTGTGTGTGTGTGTGT